TATATATATATGTATATATTTGTATATATATATGTATATATTTGTATATGTATATATATATAAATAAACATATCCCTGATTCCTCGGATCTACTACTTAGTGCCGATGGAACTACCAGTGGGTTTGTGATGTTGGACGAAGAGAATGCTATAGACGTCGGCAAATCGGAACTGTTCACCAGAGGGCAGCGAGACGAGTTCAAGGTCAAGTCTGCCAATCTGAGGCATATTGATCGCGTGAGGTGTGTGATACTTTGTTCGACACTCGCTATTGCACGGTAGTGTGCTCTGCCGTAGTGACATGAGGGTAATCCCTGACTGCCGAGCTGTATTATCCTGTAAGGGGTTGTTTCGTCATCATAGCCCATCCACTGTGAAGGCCATAGAGTCCGTGGCCTGTGTGTCATTTCGTTTTATTCTGCGTCTGTATTGCAATACACGGGTCCAGAAGTAGTTGGACTGAGAATCCACGACAGTGCACAGTCAGCCGATATAATAGGGCCGTATAACGTCCGTGGTAGGCCGTATGCCCTTCAGTACATACCTTTTATACGCGCCTGTGCAATACAGCACAACAGCTATATCACTATACTAATACCGTACGTACCTTGCGTTCCCCTAACTGGTCTGTGCAGAATCGGACATGACGGCACGGGCGCGGGTGCAGGATGGTATCTCAACAAGGTTGTGGTGACCGATCCAATCACGAAGATGGAGTTCGAGTTCAATGCCGGTGAGTTCTTCCTGGGTTAAATGTGGAGGGTTCTCCTGAACAGACCCTGTATCGAGGGCACTGGGAAGAAACTCTCCTCAGGCTTATACTACTGACATGAGGTGTTATAGACACCATGTCTATACGGAATATACGGAATATTTATTATGCATTTTAGATGTTGTTTGTCTAGAATGCTTGCTTCTAGTTAGTAGCGCATATAGTTTGCCTCTCGAGCCTTATTCTATGGATCGAATGATCGGTCAGCTGAGAGAGATAGGACATCTGGCACAGACCCTCCGCATCCGCTAGATTGTACCCTTGGTGATCGACTTCGGTTGAGAATTTATATACAATTATTTTGCACTATACTATTCATCATATACCTGCTATTCGATTCATATATCGTATATATATATATATATATATTCACGGTTGAGAATTTATATACAATTACTTCTTTGTAATATACTATCCATCATATACTTGCTATTTGATCCATGTATCCGACATATATATATGTATATATATATATATATGTATATATACATATTCACGGTTAAGAATTCATATTCAATTATATATGTATTATACTGTTCATCATATACCTGCTATTAGATCCATATATCTTACACCATTATTTATTCATATTCATATATCGCACAGATCGATGGCTTTCCACATATGACGATGATCGTCAGTTGGTGACAGACATTGAAGTAAGTCACGAGCACTCGCTGACTGGCAGGGACTTCCAAGCAGACGCTTCGGAATCATTCGATGTGGACCATGACCCAGACAGCAAATACCCCACTGTCAAATGCAAGGTATATGTTGTGCAGCTATGGGACTGTGGATATGTAGTGGTATAAATGTATGTGCTTGGCATGGTATAGATGTATAATTGTGGGCGTGGGTGTGTGTATGTGCAAGGACGTATATATATATATATGTATATATATATATATATATATACATATATATATATATATATAATAATATATATATATATATATGTGT